GTTACATAAAAGTCATCACCAGTATAAAATCCTGCTACATAAAGTCATCACCAGTATAAAATCCTGTTACATAATAGTCATCACCTGTATAAAATCCTGTTACATAATAGTCATCACCTGTATAAAATCCTGTTACATAAAAGTCATCACCAGTATAAAATCCTGTTACGTAAATGTCATCACCTGTATAAAATCCTGTTACCGTAAAAGTCATCACCAGTATAAAATCCTGTTACATAAAAGTCATCACCTGTATAAAATCCTGTCACATAAAATACATCACCAGTATAAAATCCTGTTACATAAAAGTGGCTTCACAATTCTTGGTAGACCAGAAATCATTATCCATCTTTATTAAAACACTTCCTGGTCATACAATATTTTAAGTTCACTAATATTTACGTAATTTTAAACACATTTTATAGATATGTTGGTTATGGAATATTATCTGCTGAATTAATAAAGATTACATGAGATAATTAAATGAGATTACATTCTCATTCTGAGGATATTACATTTCATAAAAATATTAGAGATGTAAAAACATGCCACTTTGCAGCAGTTTGTTTGTTTTTAATTATGCACAAAGCTACACAAGGGCTATCTGTGCTCTGCCCACCACGGGTATCGAAACCCGGTTTCTAGCGTTGTAAGTCCGCAGACATTCCGCTGTGCCAGTGGGGGGCCTTTACAACAGACGTAGAAATTGTTTTGTAACTGGTTAATTGTGGCAAGAGAACTCTTGTTAGTCTCACCAACTCTAGAACAGATTATCTCTTCATTACTCGGATTTTAGAGAATGAATATATTATCTGTCTTTTAGTCTTACGTTCTCATTAATTCAACATAAATATTCTTCAACTGCACATATTTCCATGTAACAAAACCTTCACTAACCTTCTATTTAAATTAACTTTATGCTTCGTTGTTCTATCTTAATTTACATGAGAGAAAATGAGATCTATGTAATTAATATAACTTAATTCCATGTGGTGGGTGACACAATTGGACCCTAGATCGATATGGCTTAATTGGAGTTACAGTATAAGAATTAAAACCCGACAAACCTATTGAAAGGGGAAATAATTCTTGAAAATTATAAGGCAGGAGTAACGATCATGTAATAGTTTTGCCTAAGTATATCGTATCTATGCATGAAATATTATTATGTAAAGTTTGAAAAATATCAGATCACTACTGTCTTGATTCAGAAATATCAGATTACTTAGGGTAAGCCACTTTTTGACTTTATTGAAAAATATCAGGTCACTATAGGGTAAGCCACATTCTGACATTACTAAAAAGTGTCAAATCACTATAGGGTAAGTCACTTTGTGACTTTACTGAAAAGTATCAGATCACTATAGGGTAAGCCACTTTCTGACTTTACTGAAAAGTGCCAGGTCACTATAGGGTAAGCCACTTTCTGACTTTACTGAAAATTGACAGATCACTATAGGGTAAGCCACTTTCTGACTTTACTGAAATATGTCAGATCACTAAAGGGTAAGCCACTTTCTAACTTTCCTGAAAATGTCAGATCACTATAGGGTAAGCCACTTTCTAACTTTCCTGAAAATGTCAGATCACTATAGGAATACGCTAAGCTCTGATTTAGATGAGAAGTGACAAATCACTACAGAAACACATTAACTAGTTAGCTTCAATGAGAAATGTCAGATCGCTACAGGAACACAAAATTTTCTGATTGACTGACAAATTTCAGTTCACTACAGAAATATACAAGTCCTTGACGTGATTTTTTTTTCACATGCTTCTTGTAAAGTTAACATCTTCACAACCTTTTTTGTCTCCTACGAGTTTTTAGAAAATACACCAGTTTACTTGAACATTGGTTTTACTTTTTCTACAAAATTTTACTGAAGAAGGTGGAAAAATAATCCTTACTTTTGAGTTCATATCATTGTCTAGTTTATCATAACAGTTCATCATATCAGTGTCTAGTTCACTTTAACATTAACAGTGCATCACATCAGTGTCAAGTTCACCTTAACAGTTCCACATATCACTGTCTAGTTTACCTTAACAGTTCCAAATATCAGTGTCTAGTTTACCTTAACAGTTCATCATATCATTGTCTAGTTTACCTTAACAGTTCCACATATCAGTGTTTAGTTCACCTTAACAGTTCATCATATAACTGTCTAGTTTACCTTAACAGTCCCACATATCAGTGTATAGTTTACTATAACAGTTCCATATCATCGCCTTGTTCATCTTAGCGTTCCTCATAGTGACTAACTCACTTCGACAGTTATTCATATCAGTGACTACTTGATCTAGGCCTATATAACATATAATCAGCATTGGAAACTTGTAGAGATAAAACAAATGATGACCTGTTTTAAGAATATGCCAAAAACCTTTTTTTTGTAATACTTCTAGTTGAAACTTAAACTCACTAAAAAGACGACAAATGTGTAACAGTGTAAATGAGCTGTATCACAGTTACTTTTAGGTCGTCAAGAAATTAAAATCGCGTTTTGCAATACTTTCATTAACCACCCCCAAAAAAACGTACATCACGTATAATAGTTAATAGTTAAACGAACCGCCTAAACGTCACGTTAGTGTAGCCTATATAATGTGTAAAGTTTAGAATAATATAATCCCTTATACTGATGGCACACGACGAGAGACGCATTCGGCATGTAATGCTGTTTGAATACAAGAAGGGAAACACCGCCTCTGTAGCCACAAAGAATATCAAA